TTATTTGTTGTTGTGACTTTCTGACCCACCCTTACTGGACATCTGTTAAAAAGAGCTTCATAGCTCAATGTATCAAGGTTAAATACATTATTATGATTCACGTCATTTTGTTAACCCAATTGTGATATATTAGTTAAACCATAGTGCATCATACTCAAATAGAAACAATTGAAAGAGTTTAATAATAAAAAAAGCGTGTACTCGAAAAAGGGAACTGTGTTCAGTCATCTATCAACATCAGTCATGACCTTTCCACTGCTGGATGAAGCCCCCCCCCCCCCCATTATTGCCACCATCTCTCACAGCCTTGCGATGTCACAATCCATCTCGCCCTTTTACAGGAGCAGATCTCATTGCTTCATCTCCACAGTGTCACCTTCAGTGACAGCTGTGTCAGGTCGAGTGAGAGGGGGGGGGATCACGGGAAATCATGTAGCGAGAGCCTAACATTAAATAACAAAATGATCAATACATTACTCGAACTGCATTTTAATCACGCTATTCCGGTCAGGCCAAGTTCCCCAATTGTAGGAAATCGCTCACCGCTGCCCCTCATTCTGCAATCATGAAAAGGCTCAAAGTGGACGGGCTCAGGGTGGAGTTAGGGCAGAATCAGGTAATTGAAGCATCGCATCAATCAACATTGAAGGGCACAGCCTTTGAGGGAACAGTGAGCAGGCACGGGAACCCATCTGTAAAACACGTCGGGATTTTTGACCCTGCCATTGTTGGTGACTTTTAATCACGAACCTATTGCATCTCCACATTAAATATGCAACGTTGAGCCAAAGTTGACGTGTGATTGGAACTGTTGGACCAATGTTGGCCCAACTTTTCATGTTTACTGGCTTATAACTCCTGGAATAGGGTCAGATGCCACGAAACGGACGCACACGGACACACACTCTCTCTCAAAATGAAAAGTGGGATGCTGGTGATGATGAAAATTATATCGGTAAAGTTGATATTATTCATGAGTGCATCGTTGACTGTAAAAAAAATCAGATGGGTCTTGAATTGACCCCGAACATTTTTTCCCCTTTTCATATTCATTTCTGTTTAAATAATCCTTACTTGAAAAAAAAATACGTTTTGTAGAATTAAGTGGTGGGGGGGGGGGTGTCACAAGACATCTGGACCGCGCTGTACAGTGGTGCGTGTGGGTTCAACTAAGGTGGTTTAGGGCGCAGCCCCCTGCATTCCATAGCTCACACCGCTGCAGTTGGAAGGAATTCCACTGGAGGAAGCTGGAGGGTATTCTGGTATACTCTTCATTGCTGGCCGGACATATTAGAAAATACACACACGTGTGCCTATAGGCACATAGACACGGACATACCAGACAAAGATCCCCAGTATAGCCTTAACAGACTGTAGGGGCAAGTGCTGTTCGCGAGTAGCAAATATGAAAGCCGGAACGGCACACGAGGGAGTGGGTGGCCAGCACCACGCCCGGCCGCCTTTGTCTCCCCAGTGGCGATGTTTTTACGCACCGCACCAAGTGCTCGTTTAAGGCTAAGTCGACCTATGGGAGGCCCAGGACCGGTTCAGATAATCGTCACTGATGTTGGCCGTGAGCGGGAATCGACCGATATACCACATCTATCATGACAACGCAATCCTTTCCATTAGAATGGCCACTGTTGTGAATCTTACATACAAAGTGCACACATCTCCCTGTGAGAGGTCTGTGAACCAACTCGCTAGTCGCTGCCATCTCACAACACATCGGGGTTTGGCATTTTCACCAATTTAAACGTCATCCACCAACTCTTGCCTTCAAAGTGTTGGATTGCAGGTGAGCACCATTGGTGATGTTCATACCACTGCACTGAGTCCTCATTTAAGGGGATGCCCACGACTGGTTCACACACAAGATGCTACTGATGGTAGCAAATGTGGCTGGCAATTGCGCACAGGTCACCTGGTTCATCATGCTATTACACTCTGTCACTGCTCCCCAATTAACTGCACTTACCAGTGATGTTTTACTGAGCCTCCCCTAGGTCGACTCAGCCTCAAACGAGTACCTGGCACAGTGTGCAGACGTCAGCACTGGGGAGACAAAGGCGGTCCGGCGCGTTGCTGGTCACCAAGCCCCTCGTGCGGCGTGTTGGCCTTCTTCATAGGTGCCCGCTAATGGCACTTGCTCCAAACGTATGTTAAGGCTATGAGGGGCATCTTTGGCTTGTGTGTGTGTAAAGTATGGCCTGGCTCGAGTCCCAGCCAGAATTGTTCTAGGCCTGCATTAGGTCAACTCAGCCTTAAATGTTTACCTGATTAAGTGTATTAGGGTTGTTAAAATGGTCACCGTTTGAAAAACTCTGATATGAACTGCCACTAGTTTACCGCACATGCAGAGGTATGTAGCAGTACACATAACGTGTTTACCTTTTTAACCGAGAATGCTGGGAGCTGTCCCCGGCGGTGTGTTGGCTGAGCAGCAGTCCATCTCCCGGCGCAGCATTTGAAACAATGTGGCCAAGTTTCTCAAATCTCTTACATAGGGGGGCACGGGGTAAATCCCACCGTGTGAGCCCCCCGACGCCTTCAAAACTACCCCCCCCCCAAGCGCGGGGCCTGGGACGATCTCCCCGATTCGCCGTGGTACCCTAGAGATGTCTCTGCCTCTAATCCCAGCTCACAGCAGCGGTAATGTGTAAAGTGCAGCTCCGCCTAACTCTTCCAAGATGATTCGCGTGGCCCAGCGGTCGCTCGTTCGCCCGCTTCTTGCAGAGGTTCGTGGTTCGAATTACAGCGTCCGCCCTGGTCAATACTGCGGTGCGCGCATTAACCCCCCAAAATCTAAATACGTTGCTGTCTGCCTGGCTGTGGATGGTAAAGATCCATCGACGTCATTCGCAAGAGTAGGCGCTTGTGTGTCGCCGTTGTGTGCCGACGTCATGGGCCAAATTTGCCAAATAAAAAAAAATCGCTCGCAAATTACCCAATGGGAATCTGCAAAAACTTACCAGGACCCTCTTCGAAACGAGTCACGAGGCTACGAGAGGCTTTCTTGGGTAAGCAAGCGTAATAACAAGGTTTTGTTCGCCATGTTAGAGTAAACCAAAACACCCACTGGAGCTCCCTCGAGGAGCAGAAGGGCCCCTTCAGCCACTCCAAGTTCCGCACGTACACGTGGGCCAGACGGCAGGCAGCAACCATTCCACATGCACCAATAACAACGAGGCAATGCATTTGAAGCTCCCCATCTGACATTTATATGCAGGGCCCTCACGGCATTCATCCGCCCAAGTGTTGTGCGCGACAGGGCAGCAGTGCGGGCTCCCAGTTCCGTGCAGGTGTAACCACCGGGGTCTCAGGGGGGTGGCATCCCCCCCCCCACCATCACCCCCAGCCCCCCCCCCCCCCGCTCGAGTTTGCTCGAGCAGCACAAATGACTCGCCATATATTTATGCTAATACGCGTCTAACAAGGACATTTGGGAGTTATGTGCTGGTGGACATCAGCATTTCACACACTCAAGGTTAAGGTTAGTGTGTTGCAATGGCTGTTTTGCTTGTAGCTGTCAAATTAAGTTCCCTGCGACGGGGGGGGGGGGGGGCACAGCAGAGTGATCACGTGTAGGGAATGTTGCGGGGGTGTTAACGGGCACTGGGGAATCTTAGGGGATGCAATCCTTTCCGTTGAAGCAAACCTGTCCCTGCCGGGGTCGATTAACACCGCCGCGTCTTTGGTGCCATAGGGCCTTATCTACGCCGGGTTGCAGAGCACAGATTCGCATTTAAACCAAGTGCATCAAAGAACACACGCAGGTGGCAGTGCGGCAGCAATCCATTGTTGTCCTGTGCTTGTCAGCTCACGCGTGCATCTATGCTCCCTGCCTTGCCACATAAGGTCCACTGAGCTATATAGCTATTTTTCAGAAGTGACCTGGCTATCACAAATCGATTGCTCAACGAAGTGGCTTATCACGTGGAACTTTATAGCAGCAAAATACTCTAAAGCCTAAACGCGTGTTTAGAAATGTGGAGGGAAAAACCAGAGGACCCGGAGAATAATCCACGCGACCTCGGGGAGAGAGACACGCAAACTCCAAATATACAGCGGGTGTCAGGGTCGGGATCGAACCCACGACCTTCTGTATTCCAGGCGAGGTAGTTCACATCTCACTGCCACGACCCACACATGTGGGTGGGCTGCCATCTGAAAGTGTACTGCTGAACGTGTCGATCAGTAGCAATAATGAGGTCCAATTTTGGTGTCTCTTGAATACAACTTAGCCAATGTTAAGGTAATGCACGAAGGGGGTGCATGCACATGCATATTAAATGCGCTACTTTGTTAAGTGCAAAGGATAACGTGTCCTTTCAGTCGCTGGGTAAAAACAACTACCGGAGTGCCCCATCGTGACTCAGGCCAAGATGGCCCTTCCTCCTCATGCATGCCTGTTGCAAATGCGATGTCCAAATGCAGAGATTTCACATCATTAATGCCGGGAATGGTGTACGGAGTTCGCAAAGCATTAAGCCCACTGGCCGACGCGTAGATTCATATAGTTTTCCAGCTTCGCACTATTAAATTGATAGATTTGTTTTAAGCAACATACCTGTCAACCCCTTATCAGTGCCCTACCTTATTACAGACCAATTCAGACCTTATTGGTCACCCCGTGCCCTCATAAATCTCAACGTTCATCCTGCAAAGTTCCATCACAAGGGAGAAACACACAAACAAAAACAAATGCATACGGCAGCACGCCGTATGGACCTGAAAACTCAATTTCCCTCTTGAAGAATGCGGCGTAAACCGTGCGGTTTGACACGGTTACGCTAGTCGTTAAAATACCACGGCTCGACATCCAACTCCGCAGAGGACGCCGAGCATTTGTCTCGGGGGCCAGACCCTGGGCACAAGGGAGCACCGGAGAGCGCGGCCGCCCACGCTGACGGTGAGGACGCAACGCGCACGCGGGCGGCACGCGCCGCCTTTGCGACTCGCCCGCGCGGCGCGCGGGGCCGCTCGCTCGGACCCCCTACCTGTGTGCGTGCGCAGGTGCGCCTTGAGGTGCGAGCTCTTCGTGTAAATCTTGCGGCACCCGCTGAACAGACAGCGGTGAATCCTCTTCTTGCTGTCCTGCATCGCATCGCCGCTCCCGTCGCCCACGAACTTGCGCAGCCTCCGAGGCGCCCAGCCCTCTTTGACGCCCCTCTCGGCCGGCACGAGCGGCGGCGACTCCCGCCGCTGCTGCTGCTGCTTCCCGGTCGCGCACGGCGAGACGGTCGGCGTGGGGAGGCCGCAGCGCTCCAGCTTGGGGGACGACGGGGGCGTGATGAGGCTGGTTGACGCGTTCACCTCCGCCGTCGGGGCCTCCGTGTTCTGGCCCTTGCCCGGCAGAGCGAGGACGGTGATCGGCATTGGGAACTCCGGATCGTCGCTCACGCTGCAGTCCGACACGTCGGCCAAACGATCCCAAAGCGCGCCGTCGGCAGCCGTGTCCATTGCGTCCGCCGGTCCCGGCGAGTCGCTCTCAAATCCTGCCGGGCTCGGCGAGGTGACGTCATGGGCCTCTGTCCTTTTCTCCTCTTCAGCGGCTGGTCCAGGCGTGGCTTGCACGGGCTCCCTGGACGCGCACGGGCGCTCGCGCGGCGTCTCAGCTTCCGGCTGCCTTTCGGGGACCTCCGCGTTCGGCTCGGATGTGCGGCAGCTGCTCGGCTCACTCTGCAGATACCTCTCCATCTCCAGGCATATCTGAGGGCACAAACCCCGTGCAGCACGTCGTCAGGGTGAATGCAGCGCTCCAGCTGCAAGCGGTGCGCGGACACTTTTCGACGTGGACCACGGTTTAACATTTGTTTGCGCGTGTGTGTGTGTGGTTTTTTTTTAAGGCACCTGAAGAACTATAGTATTACGGTATAAGTTATTCAACTGTTCAAGGCATCGTTGCATCATGTTTGCAATTATAATTTTTAAACACGTTGCATTTAATTGTCCCGCCTTTCACATTTATTACGGATTCTTAACAAAACACCGCACAAGCGGCTTAACGGATCGTCTCTCTGTACCCGGTGACTGGCCAACCACCACTTTGTTTTTAAAGAGCAAGGCCCATTGCGCCAGTGGTTTCCCTCAACCCTGAGGCGACAGCAAGCTCGTGAGTGACCTGATCACGTATGGAGAACCAATAACACAGGGGGGGGGGAGGCTGGAAAGCCTCCTTATGTGGTGCCCAGTAACCATTATTTTTCTCACTTTTCAATGAAACCCAGTTGTACGTATGCATGGTGATCTTCTGTTCGGGTCGTAGGTAGCCAACCGTGCTAATCGGAGGTGCCATTTAGTGGCAGGTTGCTGAATTGAAATCACTCTTCTCACAATTCCAAGTTGCAACGTAAAACCGCATCAACATTTTTTAAGTTACCTTTTTTTCTCTAAAAATAAATTGGTGTGATTATCTTTGAATATCAGTGTGCGGTAAAGAGGTTAACATATTTGCACCCGACCATTTAAATTGGTACCGTTGGCAAGTTTGTTATTTTGTGCGAAGGCACTGCCAACATTATAATTATCATAATGTACATCACAGATGTTTGTATGCAGGGCTCTCATAGTTATTACACATATTTCAGTCCAGTTTTATAACCAATGATTTGACGTGAACACTAATTAATTGGATCCAGATCAGCAGAGTGTTTTAATACAATTGGGCTGGCCTTGAGAGTCAAACTTTTTGCAATTATTGTCAATTACAGTGCAGAGCCACAACGTAGAGTATACGCCATATGAGCTGCAGCGCTCTAGAACGTGTTATTCAGACGTAACAATCCAAGCAATTATGAAATAAATACTGCAGTTTTGTTTCCCTTCTACGTGACTTTACCGAAAGAACCAAGAATATAAATATAACATATGTATGGTAACGTAAAACAAATGTTTACATGCTCGAGTGAACGAGTAAGCATGTAACTACGAATACATACATATAATTTTCCGAAACAATTTGTATTTCATCAGGTAAAACCCACCGAGCTATTGATTCTTTTTTCCGAAGCGACCTGGCCACAAATGATAGCTCAACGAAGTGTCTTATCATGTGGACATTTATAGCAGCCAAATAATCGAAACGCATGTTTTCTAAATGTGGAGGGAAATAGTGGAGGACCTGGATAAATCAACGCTGTCACTGCACAGTCACTATATACATAACAGAAACTTAGATATATTAATGTGTGAATTCGTGCGTATTGCTTGTCTGATGACTGCCCAGCGACGAGCACTTTTGTTCGGGACGAATAGAAAGGCTGAGCGAGGGGACTGGTCTCGCACACAGGGCTGACAACGCTGATACCGGTAACACAATTGGAAACGAATTCCACGTGAGGACCGCATTCAAAACGAAATCTTAATGACGGTTCGTGGCGCATTAGTCTCACGGCAAGAGGTTCATGTAGAATGCATTGGGTGAACTGCCATCCGACGATGAGGCTCATCATGCCGCACTCTCACATGAAGTATCCTGTCCGGCCATAGGGGCAATAAAGTGAGAAAGTACGATGAAATATATTTCGTGAACGATTGCACAGTATTTCCAGATTAAATTGCTTATATGCAATAAAGTGTATAGTTTTCATCTCAGTATGCTCAGTTTAAACCTGAAAACACCCCCTGAAATGCTATTAGCATTTCAAATATGCAATAAATACTACATCTGGCACAATTCATTGCCTTCTCTGAAGTTATGTATCACACTAAACATTCATAGGCATAGTATCTCATGGTGGCTTGTTACCTAACGCCTCAACTACTTTTATCTGTGATGAAAAAAAACTGCTTCATATATTATTCAGGTATTCCGATAAATGCTCAGCCACGGTGTTTGTGGTCGCAGCGAGGTTTAGCGAAGAGAGAGAGAGAGACAGAGAGACAGAGTTACAATTGCTTTAAAATATTGATGGTAAAAGTAATCACACCTTAAAGACGCTAAAGCTCGCTTTCATTAGTGTTCACATTATTTTACATCAGGAAACTGATCACGGGATAATTTAGATCAGGAAAGCAATCACGCAGCACGTGCGCCGTACCATCTTGTACAGCGGTTGATCAATGCCGAGATCAAAACAGATAGTGTCCCGCTCCTTCCCACCGAATAGAAAACTTCTTTGGAGAACTTGTGAGGCTAATTGAAGAGTACAAGGTAGACAAATGTAATTCTGCTTTAAACGAATGCTGTATTGGATTGTAGACTCCACACCCGTGGGGACTTGCTTATCGGGTTTGTTATCTTTGAAGACACAGCTGCGTCACTGCGGTGACTTTTATATCACACCGTGGTGAAATGTTAACTACCTCGCCTGATATGCAGGAGGTCGTGGGTTCGATCCCCACCTTGACACCTGTATTTTTGGAGTTTGCGGTGTCTTTCTTCTCGTGATCGCATGGATTTTTCTCCCGGTCTTCCGGTTTTTCCCTCCACATTTAGAATCAACATCACGCGTTTAGAGTATTTGGCCGCTATACATTTCCAAATGACAAGCCACTTCGTTGAGCTATCATTTGTGGCCAGGTCGCTTTTGTAAAAAAATATCTAAATAGCTCGGTGGGCCTTACCTGGTAAACAAAAAAAAGAGTTTAGTTTGCAATAGTTTTAGTTTTATTATTCTGACGATGTTCGTTCAGGGCCAGTGGGTCGTGAAGCTCCATTTGAGGCTTCACGAGAAGCGGAGCGCATTTGGCAAGTGGAGTCTTTCGAGCAGAGCGGCTCCTTTCTGCTCGACCTGTTTCTACACCTCAGCCAATGAGCGATCGGGAACGTAAAGCAAAACGTGCATGGTACTTTATTGGGGGCCTACGCGATCGGTTCAGTATGGGTCAAATTTTTACTTCAAGAATAATAATCCTAAAACTGTCAGATTGGCTCTCTTGATCTGACTTGCACAGCAAGTGAATGTATATTTGAACGTTGAACTTCTTTTGCATCGTACGTACGTAGCCAACCGCGCTAACTGGAGGTCCGTAAATGTGTATATGTACAACCACGTCAGTAAGCATGCAACGTGGGCATGTGGGTTGCAACCATTGGACGAACGTTGGACCAACATTGATTGGTCCCAAGTACCATGTTTATCGGTCGTTTATTATGCCACTGCTGGATGAAGGCCCTCCCCATACCTTGCGGGTCATTGCTGTAATAGGCATGTCATACGATCTATAAACAGCTCGCTTTCTTATTGGCTGATCACACCATGTCCAATTGTCTTCATTTTAACTCTTAAGAGTATCAATACTATGAATACAGCAAGTGTCTCTCGACTGCTAGATGAAGGCGTCTGCACACCATTGCGATCTCACCCGGTTCTGTGATGCCACAATCCACCTAGATCCGGCACATTAACGAATCTCTTCACTCCGTCTTCATGGCTGCGAGCCATCAAACAAACAACGGTTGCTGCGTCGCGCGCTTTCAGATGCACTTCTGCGGCCATCTTGAACACTCTTTCTTCCGATATTAGGGAGCCACTGGAGCTATGCACTTTCAAAATCTAGATCGCAAACTCATTTCTTTATAACTGCTTTTTTTGTGTTTAGTTTGTTTTTGTCCTTTCCCCGCACCTCCGATTAGCACGGTCGGCTACGTACGTTGCCAAAGACATTCAACATACATCAACATGCACACTACTAAACACTATACTATACACTACACTACTATACACTACAAACTACACACTACATTCTACACTCCATCACTGTACTAAATTGAGAACTAATTTCTTTAGAACTGCGTGTTCTGTTTATTTTGTAGTCCTTCCCCCGCACCTCCGTTAAGCACGGTTCAGCTACATACGGTGCCAAAGAAGTTCATTGTACATACATCATACATACATCATACATACATCATACATACATCATACATACATCATACATACATCATACATACATCCGTCGTATATTGCCAAGGTAACATTAACACCAATATCTCTCAACGAAGAGATGCTGTAGCCAATTGGCTATGTAATCTTCCATTGACTAATTTGGAATGAGTACGGTATTATGAAACAAAAGTTGATTTGGGCTGCAGAAAATTATTTTTCTTTTGACCTCTGTCAATTCACTGCTGTCAGTCACAGAGGTTGTTTCACCATTTCCCACAGACTTAACGCGTAGCTTTTTTGAAGCCAATATTATGGTTCATAATTGATGTTTAAGTCAGGCAATGTAATAATGATCATTATTCGGCATAATCATAGTATATATTGATTAATGTTACGGTCATATTTCACTACGCTGGAGCAGTACAGGTTGGTGAAGAGGAAGGGGTGCCCAGAACTAGTTCAGATATCACAACTGATGTTTCCATGGCCAGGGATCGAACTCAGGCTCCAAGTTCAGAGCATAAAGCGTAAACCACTGCACCACCACTCAACTCCCTACGATTATATCGTCTAAACATACTTTTTTATTCACCATTTCGCCAATTGTATACGTACAAAATATAATTCTTAATTTCATATTATAGCAACGTACATGTAACACATTTCCCCCTTGAACAATTTGCCAAATGCTTGAAGCCGTGATATGCGACTGTCAAGTTAAATGCCCGTCTCTGCCGAAGCTCAGTCTGCCCCAGTGAGTTCACTCTCTTCCCAGGTCACTCTCGCATAGCGAAGCCCTCCCGGTGGTGATATATTTACGGCAGGTTACCTGGAACAGGATAAACAATGCATCATCCCCTTGGCAGATGCTGGCATCATTTT